GGGCGGACCCTAACGGGCGGGTCGGGTCGGGTCGGGCGGACCCTAGCGGGCGGGTCGGGTCGGGCGGGCGGGACATTAAAGTATGGTGCGCGTGCACTTGACACGCGTGAACCCTGACGGGCGGGTCGGGTCGGGTCGGGCGGGCGGGCCCTAACGGGCGGGTCGGGTCGGGTCGGGCGGACCCTAACGAACGGATCGGGCCGGGCGGGCGGGACGTTAATGTATGGTGCGTGTACACCTGAGACGCGTGACCCCTAACGGGCGGGTCGGGTCGGGTCGGGCGGGCGGACCCTAACGGGCGGGTCGGGCCGGGTCGGGCGGGCCCTAACGGGCGGGTCGGGTCGGGCGGGCGGGACATTAAAGTATGGTGCGTATACACTTGACACGCGCGACCCCAAACGGGCGGGTCGGGTCGGTCGGGCGGGCGGACCCTAACGGGCGGGTCGGGTCGGGCGGACCCTAACGGGCGGGTCGGGTCGGGCGGGCGGGACATTGCAGTATGGTGCGTGTGCACTTGACACGCGTGAACCCTAACGGGCGGGTCGGGTCGGGCCGGGTGGGCGGACCCTAACGGGCGGGTCGGGTCGGGCCGGGCGAACCGTAACGGGCGGGTCGGGCCGGCCGGGCGGGACGTTAAAGTATTGTGCGTGTGCGCTTGACACGCGCGAACCCTAGCGGGCGGGTCGGGTCGGGCGGGCGGGCCCTAACGGGCTAGTCGGGTCGGGTCGGGCAGACCCTTACGGGCGAGTCGGGTCCGGCGGGCGGGACATTAATGTATGGTGCGTTTACATTTGACACGCGTGAACCCTAACGGGCGGGTCGGGTCGGGTGGGGCGGGCGGGCCCTCACGGGCGGGTCGGGCGGGCCCTAACGGGCCGGGTCGGTTTGGGCGGGCGGGGCATTAAAGTATGGTGCGTGCGCACTTGACACGCGCGACCTCCAACGGGCGGGTCGGGTCGGGTCGGGCGGGCGGACCCTAACGGGCGGGTCGGGTCGGGCGGACCCTAACGGGCGGGTCGGGTCGGGCGGGCGGGACATTGCAGTATGGTGCGTGTGCACTTGACACGCGTGAACCCTAACGGGCGGGTCGGGTCGGGTCTGGCGGGCGGCCCCTAACGGGCGGGTCGGGTCGGGCGGGCCCTAACGGGCCACGACCAGGCTCCGAGGAGACCCAGAAAAGGGCACCTTTGAATTTGTGCGCGAAACCCAGGCGCGGGCGCGGGATGGGCCGAGGGCCGCTGGACACTTTCGAAAGCCACTCCTTGGAGCACGACGTGGCGAAGAAAGTGCTTCGCCCCACCTCGCCTGGGCGCCTCTCGTTTGATCCGCGGAAGCCCTGGTGCACGGCGGGGGTGACGCCACGACGATGTCTCCACAGCATGGCGTAGCAATGTTTGGACAGAGCGACGAGCGGCCGCTCTGCGGTTGAACGGCTATCCGTGGATATGTTGTTCCGAATCCCTTCCTCTCCTCTCTCCCTCCGCCCATTCCTGCCTCTCCTGCCCTCCCTGCCCCCCCCGTTTTCCCTCCAGCCCCCCCGCCCTCGCCCTCCCCTCTCTGCCCCTCCCGTTACACAATTCCACAATATGGACACTACTTTCCTCTCCCCCCCTAGTCTGTGCAGAGAGTCCCCCGCCCTGTCCGCGTATTGTTGTTTCACACAGGATTTGAAAAGTTGATATGTTTTATGTGTTATTCCATTCCGATTGTTTTCGGGTGTTCAAAATGTTGCTCCCGCTGCAGGGCTGGCCCCGCTTCCGCGCCTCCAATTGTTCCACATCGAACTCCCGCGGCAGCACCGGCGTGTTCGGTCCTTCCAGTAATGCCCACGGTGCAAAGATAAGCCCTCCGAAAAGAGCATCGGTCGTGATAGCACATCCGGAGTCGATTCGCTGAATTGTTGGGGCTTTGAAGGCCCCGCCCTTGAGGGGCGTCGTCGTTGTTCTGAAGCAGTATCAAGCAGGAGCCCTGTTTCAGCTTCGAACAGGCGATGTTGAAAGCAGAGCCAGCGGGTTCTATCCGACAGCCCTTCTTGTGAGGGGCTTTTCGGGGAGCCTAAGGAGCTGGACATGGAGCCGCGGCTCCAGACGGGCCCAGACCTCTCCACGACGATCCACTTACCCTCCGAGGAGTCAGGCGCCATGCCATGACATGCTGTGCGGTGCGGTGTTGTGTTCCGCGCCGCTGTGCGACGCCACGCTTTGGGTCCAGACCATGACCGATGCTGCCAGCGACTTTGTCGCCGATGACGTCACCATTACACCGGCAAAACCCATGCCCGTGGCCGTGGCCGTGACCGTGACCGTGGCCGTGGCCGTGGCCGTGGCCGTGACCGTGACCGTGGCCGTGACCGTGACCGTGACCGTGACCGTGACCGCGACCGTGACCGTGACCGTGACCGTGACCGTGACCGTGACCGTGACCGTGACCGTGACCGTGACCGTGACCGTGACCGTGACCGTGGCCGTGACCGTGACCGTGACCGTGACCGTGACCGTGACCGTGACCGTGACCGTGACCGTGACCGTGACCGTGACCGTGACCGTGGCCGTGACCGTGACCGTGATCGTGACCGGGACCGGGACCGGGTCCGGGTCCCGGTCCGGGTCCGGGCCCGGGTCCGGGTCCGGGACCGTGACTGTGACCGTGACCGTGACTGTGACCGTGACCGTGACCGTGACCGTGACCGTGACCGTGACCGCGACCGTGACCGTGTCCGTGACCGTGACTTGATCCAGCGCCTTACTGGTTGTGGGGCGGTTTGGGGAACTTCTTGGGCGGTTTTGGAGCGTCGGACACCCGAAAAAGCGAGGACGCTGAAAACATTGAACAACCAATGGGAAAGTAGCAATTTGGGGATGTTTTTGGAGCCTCACCGGAGCTACTTAGGGGGCTCCCCGAGGCCCTGTGGAGCTCTCTTGGGGCCTCCTTGGGCCTTCTCGGGGCGGGAGGCTCGTATTTTCAGTTCGTGGTCCCCCCTGGGGCCCCTTTTTGGGCCGTCTTGGAGCATTCGTGGGCCATCTCGGGCGCGTCTTGGACCGTCTTGGGGCGCTCTCAGCGCGCTCTGGGAGCTTCTTTGGCCGTCTTGGAGCGGTTTTGCGAGCTTCTTAGGCGGTTTTGAAGCGTCGGAAACCCGAAAAAGCGAGGACGCTAAAAACATTGAAAAACCAATGGAAATTCAATGATTTTGTTCTCTCGGGCCCCCTTTGAGAACGGTCTTGGGGCTCTCGCGGAGGGTCTTCAAGGCTACCCGGGTGCTATCCTGGACTGTCTTGGGTATCTTTGTGGGCTTGCGCCGACCGATTTGGCATTGCCGCCCGCCTGCGTGCACGCCTTGGAAAGGATTTTCGGCCGCCCCCGTGGCACGGATCCGGGGGGGCCCGTTTCGGGGGGGGGGTCCGCACCCCCGGAATTATAAGATTATCCCAGTGCGACCCTACCTAGGAGTTGGAGCCCCTAGGAAAGCAGCATTAGTAGTTACAGTAAAGCTAAGCTAAAGCTAAACTGAAGCTAAGCTAACGCTAAGCTAAATCTAAGCTAAAGCTAAGCTAAAGCTAAGACAAACCTAAGCTAGATCTAAGCTGAAGCTAAGCTGAAGCTAAGCTAAAGCTAAGCTAAAGCTAAGCTCAAGCTAAGCTGAAGCTAAGCTACAGCTAAGCTAAAGCTAAGCTACATCTAAACTAAGTTAAAGCTAAATCTAAGCTAAAGCTAAGCTAAGCTAACGCTAGCGCTAAGCTAACGCTAAGCTAGAACTAAGCTAAAGCTAAGCTGAAGCTAAGCTGAAGCTAAGCTGAAGCTAAGCTAAAGCTAAAGCTAAAGCTAACGCTAACGCTAAAGCTAAAGCTAAAGCTAAAGCTAAAGCTCCCAGGGGACTGGGGGAACCGCTCCCAGGGGACTGGGGGAACCGCCCGGGGCGATTTCCATTGCCCAGCCCTTTAAGCTAAGAGAGTAAGAACCCTTCTAGGCAGAGCCTAGGTAGGGAAATATAGAAACAAGAATATATATATATATATATATATATATGTGTGTGTGTGTATATGTATATGTATCGCCGCGTCGTTTGTTCCGACGCGCGGTCTTCCGTTTTGGAGAGGGTGCTGCGGGCACCAGGGCAAAGGCTGCTTCGGCCGCGGCGGGCTTGCCGTGGGCTTTGCCGCGGTGCTGGCTGTTTCCTTGGGCGCGGGGCGCAGGGCTTGCCGCGGGTTTGCCGTGGTGTCGGCGTCGTCCATTTGGGCGCGTCGAGATCAAACGGCGCGGCGACATATAGCATATAGCTCTTTTCTCTCCGCCCAGGCTACCGTGCATGCACATATTCCACGCGAGCTGCGCCTCCCCGTGGCTGCTGCAAGCAGGCGCCCGGGAGCCCGCTCCCCCGCTCGTTCCCCTCTCCGAAGGTTGGAGGGGGCCGCATGCCTTCGCGTCGATGGGGGCGCTCTCTGTCTCTGTGGGGGGGCCCCTCTGTCTCTCGCTGTCTGTGCTTCTCTCTCGCTCTCCGTCTCTGCCTGCCCCTCTGTCCCTTTCTCCGTCTCTTACTATCTGCTTCTCTCTCTCTCAGTCTCTTTCTCTGGGGCGCTCCTCCACCTCTCTCTGTCTGTCTGCCCCATCCTCGGCAAATGCCATGTCGCAGAGGGCCGCGATAGCGAACGAGGTGGCGCCCACCTGGGAGGATTTTTCAGCGGAGTGCCACGGGGAACTCCCGGAGCCAGCACCAGCCGATCCGTTCACCCTGACGGACGAAGATCTCATCGACTTCACCAGGACGAGGCCAGCGGCCAGAGCCGGTTGGCCTGACGGATGGACCGCCACAGAAGCCAGAACGCTTCCTGACGGAATCCTGCGCCTCTCCGCCAGAGCGCTTCGGCGCTTCGGGCCATGCAGCGGCCGTGTGTCGTCCCCGAGCCGAGGAGGAGGAGGAGGAGGAGGAGGAGGAGGAGGAGGAGAGGATTGAGAGAGGAATGGGGAGCGAGAGGGAGGTTGCATCACAGCGGGGCAAGAAGGAGGAGGATGAGGAGGAGGGGGAAAAGGGATGACGAGGAGGAGGGAGAAGATGGAGGAGGAGCTGCGATCCTTTGTTCAAGCCCCCCAGCACCTCACTCGGTGTGCGCCCGCCCCTCCGCTCCTCCCAGGCGGCGCGAGGTGGTTGATCTGGCTTGGCCGTGCTCTGTCCCCGTCCCGTCCTGGCGCGTCTTGTGGCGCCGCGTCCCGTCGCGTCGCCTACCATCCCGTCTCGTCTCGTCTCGCATCCCGCCATGTGCCAAGAAGGTCATGAGGAAGTGGATCCTGGGCCTTGGTTCCGTGCCGGAAGGTTAGAGAAAATGCTACAGTCGGTACGTCAGAAAAGAAATCGGCCTGCTAGCAGGTGCCCCACGGGAGCTTCTCATCCCCCGATAGTTCTGGGCGACCTACAGGGGCCTTTGGTTACTTCGGGGAGCTCCAAGCCAGATGACAAGCGTGCCCCCAGGTGGATTCTACGTAGCAAGATATCTGGTATTATTTGTTTACTGTACATAAGGATCCAGGGAAGGCTACCCTGCTGCATGGAACCCGCATCAATTCCTTCTGGCAAGCGTCCCGTCCCACCTTGCCTCGCCTTGCCTCGCCCGGGTCTCGTCACGTCCTATGTCTCTCCTTGTCTCTTTGCGTTTCTGCCCGTCGGCGTTTGCAGGGAGGACGCTTCACGTCAAACATATACTGTTCAGATGGTAATATGTTTCGTCCGTTCGACCCGAATCCACACACGGCGGCATGGCAGATACGAGTTAAAACCATTTCTGTATGTTTGTCTGGCGGTCCGTTCGTCTGCCTGTCTCACTCTTTGTCTGTCGGTCCCTCTCTCTCTTTCTCTCTGCGGTCTTATCCCTTTCGTATTTCTTGTTCACTGCTTCAATATCTTTGCCTTGCCGTCTTCATACTACTTTGTTGGCTTAGTAGTCTCATCCGCAGTAGTCTCACCTTTATTAGTGTATGCATGCAATATATATACATATATGTATGTATGCATGTATGTATGTATGTATGTATATATATATATATGTATATGTATATGTATATATATACATAAATATATTTTCTAGACGCTTCGCGTATCACCACCAGCTTGGCGCCGCAAGGGCGACTTCTCCCCCCCGTTCCGTTGCCGTTGCCGCGCCCTTTGCTTCCCCACCAGCAGGGCTGTCTGGGCCGGTCACCAGCTGACGCTGAAATGCGTCTCAATGAGGGGCATTTTGTCCCTGGCATGTGCATGCGCCGCTGCGCGCCAATTATCTACGTACCGCGCCCCGGACGTTGTGCCCGCTCCATGTCCTTCGCCTTGGAGCCGCGAACCAAAAAGTATCACCACCAGCCGAGAGAATGATGGCTGAGGAGGGGAAATAGGGGGTGGGGGGCGTCGTAGCCGTTCTGTCGCCAGGCAGCCAGGAATTCGTCGCAGGTCTTTGGGACGAGACTGGGACGAGTTGCTCGACACTCGGTCCCGCAACGCGGACTTTCCACCAATTTCGACCGCACGCGCCAGGACCACGCGACGGACGACTGGAGCAACGCCGGGCGCCCAGGCAAAGGGCTAGTTTGCGATGTCTCCGTGTTGCGAAGTGACAAGCAGGACAAGCGCAGCCACGGCTGAGACGAACCTGCTACCGACAAGAGACACCGCTTGTAGCCACCTTCCACCACTCCAACGCACTTTCCTTTCCGCGCCCCACCTTGGGTGGGCTTCTCTTTAGTGCTTGCAGCGATCAGCTGCCTTCCCCTCATTCCCCCCTTCTCCTCCTCCCTGGGGTTCTTCTGCATCACCTTGGGTATACCTCTGCCGAGGTCCACTGTGTTTCTTCAGCGATCAGCTGCCAGCTCTACCTGGGGTATACTTCTGCCGAGGCCATCCATTCCGTCGATGTGATCAGTTGCCTGCTCCACCGTGGGTATTCCTCAGCCGAAGATTTCCGTGTGCTTGCAGCTATCAGCTGCCTCATATGAACCTCTTGTGGATCTGGTCCGGCTGGTGCGGCACCAGCTCCCCTGGGGCATCACTGTCGTCCGTCCCTCCGCGTGATGGCCGCAAAAGGGTTCATGTCGGTTGGGCTCGGACGAACGTGCCCCTTCCTTGCCAGTGGCCCCCATTCGGTTGCGTCACGGTCCCCCTAGGATGCATGTGCGGGCGCAGGCCTCATCATGGCCACCCGCCGCTCCACCCTCGGGCTACCTGATGGGCGGCACTCACTTGCACGATCCTCTCGTTCCGGTCATCTTCAGTTTGCAGTTTCGTGCGTGCGTGGCGCACGGCACTGGTCGTGTCGATTGGCCTGCTATCCTGCCTGTACGACAAGGTTTGTTCCTGTCTACCCAGCCCTCGGGCATGCGCCGCCCGAGTCTTCTCGGATGACCTGCTGACGCTGGTAATGTGCGGACTGTGGTCCTACATGTACGACAAGTTTTGTTCCTGTCTACCCTCGGGTTGCGCCGTCCGCGTCTTCTCCGACCTGCTCTACACAGGCGGGGGAGCCCAGTGTTGGCACCAGCGCTGCCCGCGCACCCCGGCCATCGAGGGGCCCCCTCCCGTGCCATTTCGGCTGCGTCACCGCTCTCGGTGCTCGCGCGCGGTGAAGTTCTACCCGTACGTGCATGGTGTACCACCTCTTCCGCCTGCGTTTCGGCTCTCTCGCGCCACTTTGGCTGCGTCTACCACTCGCTTCTGGTGCTCTCGGGCCCTACTTCAAGTTCTCCCTGTACGGCAAAGGTGGCTCCGCCCCTGGTCTTCGTGCTCTTCGTTATCGGCACACACTTCTGGCGGCAGCTTCGCGGGTTGGGCAGTACTTCTGTGTGCTTCCCTTCTGCCCGTTGGGTTCCGCTCGCCTTATTGCTTTTCCAATGGAGCGCGGCCCGCCCTAGTTTGTTCGGCGTTCGACTCGTCTTCGCGCGCCCGCGGACCAAAAAGTATTCCCACCAGCCCATCCGGAAACGATGTCCTGGCGAGTTGAGGTGACCAGGGAACTGCAGGAGCAAAGAGGTGGACGGTTGAACCGTGCGAAGGAGGAAGGAGGAGCAGGAGGAGGCTGGATGGATGGGTGATGGAGTGGTGAGAAGGAATACGATTATGACGATGATGATGATGATGGTGATGATGATGATGATGATGATGATGATGATGATGATGATGATGATGATGATGATGATGATGATGATGACGATGTTGATGATGATGCTGATGATGATGATGATGATGATGATGATGATGATGATGAGGAGGAGGAGGAGGAGGAGGAGGAGGAGGAGGGTGAGAAGGAGTAGGAGGAGGAAGGGGGGTAAGGAGGGGGAGGACAAGCAAAAGGGCTAGGGGTCTCTTGGGTGCCTCTCAGAGCCTCTTGGGATATCTCTTGGGCGCTTTTTGGAGGCCTCTTGGGACGTCTTGGGGGTTTCTCGGCGGTCCTGGAGGGCTCTTGGGCGTTTTGGGTGCCTCGGACGGGCCTCTTGGGGACGCTAGGGGTCCTCTTGGGGGCCCTCCCGGAGCCTCTTGGGGCCATTTTGGATCCATCTTGGGGCCATCTTGGGGCCTCTTGGGGCCTCTTGTGCGCCTCTTGGAGCCATCTTCGAGGAGATTGATCAAAAAAGGGGGGGGGCGCAATTCGCGCTGCCCTTCGGGGTCAAAATGGGGCCCAAGCCCGAGTCAAACCATTGAGTTTGGCTTCCTCGCCAAGGCCGTCTTGGACGCTCCAACGACCTGCGAAAAAAAAGGCCCCGTCCAGGTCCAGGGGGGGCTAAGAGGGGAGGGGTCAAGACACCTACTAGGATCAAGCCGTGTAGATAACTCCCCCCCCCGCCCCCCCAATACATAGGTAACACCTGACCAAAGGGCCCAACATGTGAACTACCGAAGGAATATAAAGAGGAAAAGGAGTAGGAGGAGGAGGAGGAGGAGGAGGAGGAGGAGGAGGAGGAGGGAGGAGGAGGAGGAGGAGGCGGAGGCGGAGGAGGAGGAGGAGGAGGAGGAGGAGGAGGAGGAGGAGGAGGAGGAGGAGGAGGAGGAGGAGGAGGGGGAGCACGAGGAGGAGGGGGAGGAGCAGGAGGAGAGGAGGAGGAGGAGGAGGAGGAGAAGGAGGAAGAGGAGAAAATGGAGGAGGAGGAGGATGAGGAAAAGGAGGTGGAACAGGAGGAAAAGGATGAGGACGGGGAGGAGGAGGAGGAGGAGGAGAGAGGAAGAGGAGGAGGACGAGGAGGAGAAAGAGGAGAAAGAGGAGAAGGAGGAAGAGGAGGAAACGGACGAGGACGAGGACGAGGACGAGGCAGGAGGAGGAGGAGGACGAGCAGGAGGAGGAGGAGCAGCAGCAGCAGCGAGGAGGAACAGGGATGAGGAGGAGGGGGAGGAGGAAGAAGAAGTGGAGGAAGAAGAGGAATCACAATAATCATAAGAATAATAATAAGAAGAATAAGCATACTAAGAATAATAATGAGCAGTAGAAGAATAAGAATAATAATTGGAGGAGGAGGAGGAGTAAGGAGGAGGAGGGAGGAGGAGGAGGAGGAGGAGGAGGAGCACAAGGAGGAGGAGGAGGAGGAGGAGGAGGAGGGAGAGGACGAGCAAGAGGAGGAGGAGTCAGGAGGAGGAGGGAGGAGGAGGAGGAGAAGGAGGAGGAGGAGGAGGAGGAGGAAGAGGAGGAGGAGTCAGGAGGAGGACGATGGAGGAGGAGGAGGAGGAGGAGGAGGAGGAGGAGGAGGAGGAGGAGAGCGGAGAAAGAGGGAGGAGGAGGAAGAGGAGGAGCAAGGCTCCAAACTGAGAGCGGTGACGTAGCACGCGGTTACCAGCAAGGCTCCCAAGAGCGAGCGGTGACGCAGCAGGCTCTTACCAGGAAGGCTCCCAAGAACGAGCGTCAACGTAAGCATCTCTTGGCACGAGGGCTCTGAACAGATAGCGGTGACGCAACAAGCTCTTACCAGCAATGTTCCCAGTGACGTAACACGCGCTTACCAGCAAGGCTCCCAAAAACGAGCGGTGACGCAACAAGCTCTTAACACCAAGGCTCCTTTTGAGGCCTCTTGGGGGGCGTTGGGGGGCCTCTTGGGGCATCTTTTTGAACCTCTTGGGGGCATCGTGTGGCCTCTAGGTGGCCTCTTGGGCCCTCTTGGGGGCCTCTTGGGGCCTCCTGGGGGCCTTGATGCGGAAAGCTCAAATTCTCGGTTCGTGTTCCCCCTCTTGGGGCCCTCTTGAGGCCGTCTTGGGGCCCTCTTGAGCGATCTTGAGCGCCTCTTGGGCCGTTTGGGGGCCCTCTTGGACCGTCGTGGGACCTTCTTGGGGGCCTCTTGGGCCGTCTTGGGGCGGTCTGTTGGGCCTCGTGGTCCGTTTTGGAGCGTCGGAAGCACGAAAGGGCGATAGCCCCAAAAACATTTGGGAAACAAACACAATTAGAATCAATGATTTCTGCCTCTTGGAGCCCTCTTGGTAGGCCTCTTGGAGCGCTCTTGGAGCCTCTTGGAGGCCTCTTGGGCCGTCTTGAGGCCATCTTGGGCGTCTTGAAGCGCTCTTGGGCCGTCTTGGAAGCCTCTTGGGCGCTTCTTGGGGCCATCTTGGCTCGTCTTGGGGCCTTGTGGCCTCTGGAAAATCCACGCGACCGAGCCCAAGAGCGCCCAGATGCTCCGATGTGGAGGCAGAGTGTGTTTGATATTTTTTTGACAGGGGTGGTGGCATGGTTCCGGGTTGGCTGCCGGCCAGGCGGAGGAGGGGGTGTTTATCAACAGGGAACAGTGATACACCCTTCCTCGAGGGGGAAGAGAGAGGGGTGGAAGAGGAAACGCTCTAAACCACCTACGCCCAGAGGGCTGGTGGGACTCCTCCTCTTTTCCATCGCCCAGTTTCCCGAGTCGCCCAGTTCCCCCTTTTCTCCTCTCACTTCCCCCTTCTTTTGCCAAGTTGACATCTCCTCTCCCTTGCCACCTCCGTCACTTTCCCTCCCTCGCTCCCTCTCATGTCGGCTGTGGGCCTCATTGGCGACCCCGCACTAGCGGTTCTTGCGCCTTGACGAGCGTTTTTGGGAGTCTGGCCGCAGTGACGAGACGCCTCTCGATAGCTTCTGGCATGGCAGCTATCACGCAGGGATTCGCCCAACCCGCCCAAGACGCATGGCACGACCATGGGGCGGGTCGATGGGTCAGCGTGTGCCCACATTCCGCTGGGCCTCCAGGGAGTTCATGACTGTTGCCACAGGTGAGCGTGCGGCACCATCTGGGGATGCGAGGCCCCGCTTGGTCTGCGTAAGACGTCACTCCGCTGGGCCCCCCAGGAACACACGAAGTCAGTGGCAGCGGCGCAGTTGGCAGCGCCTGGGGAGGTGAGGCCTCAAGGCGACATGACTGTCAGCTCGCTGGGTCTCCCGGGTGCTCGCGAGCGCGGCGTCAGCTGCGCAGTTGGCAGCGCCCGGGGAAGCGCGCTCCTCGCATGCTCTGCTTGAGACCTCGCCGAGGCAGGCGAGGTCTCATTGGATCTGCGTGGGAGCGCCACCCCGCTGCGCCTCCCAGGGGCCCACAGGAGCGGCGACAGCTGCGCAGCTGGCCTCGCTCAGGGAGGCGTGGCCTCGCTTGATCTGCGTGGGACACCGCCCGGCTGGACCCCCGCCCCCCAAGGCGTGCAGCCTGGCAGCATCCTGGCCAGTCCTGGCAGCACCGAGGCGGCAGCGAGTCGGTAGAAACCATGATCAAACGTAGGAGTGTTGTTTTCGGGGGGCGGGCAGCAACGCGGTGGTATCTCGCTTTCCTATCTCTCTCTCTCTGTTCTCTCTCTGTCGTTGTTTGTTCCTCTCTCTCTCTTTCTCTCCCTCGCTCTTTCCCCCTCTCTCTCTGATCGACATATATGTTTGCATATTGATGTTTCTTTCTTCTTATACGGATCGAGATATACCTATTTCCTTTCTCATATGAGGCCTCCCCATGACCTCTTTGTTATGTGTGTTGTTTCACCCTCTCTCTGTCACACGCTCTCTCTCCTCTCTTTCCTTTATCCTTCACTGGCGACCACCCATCTTTCGCAGCCCCCCCGCGCGCGGCCCGTGCGAGGCACGTGTCCTGTGTGCCTGACGGACAGCCCGATTGCAACGCCGCCCGTCCGTGGCGCCCACATGCTTGAGGAGGATGGCGAGGAGGAGGAGGAGGAGGAGGAGCAGGGAGGAGGAGCAGGAAGGGGCAGGACGAGAAGCAGGAGGAGGTGTCGGAGGTGGAGGAGGAGGTGCAGGAGCAGGAGGAGGAGGAGGAGGAGGACCAGTGTCAACCCAAGCCGTGTCAACGATGTTGGAGCAAACCTTCCCTCCAAGTTCCCTCTGCATGCGTCGCTACAAGAGCTTATTATCATTGCGTGAAGTGCCCCATTGGAAGACAACAGTCTGAGAATCCAAACCTGTGCCAACACACCACACCTGGAACTTCAACGCCCAGAATCAATGGACTGTTGCGTCCTGGCAGTCCTAAGCCGTGCCAGAGCACTATCCCTGAGACTTCAGTACCGCGAATCAAAGGCATGGTTGCGTTCTGGTAATCCTAAGTCCTGCCAGAACACAATTCCTGGGAGTTCAACCATACGAGCCCTTGAACTTGATGTAAACTTCAAAACGAGTGTGCGCGACGCTCTAGTGATAGCCACATTTTGAAAAGGGAGCCGCCCTCAACCAGTGCAGCCGTTGCACATTTGTATGACGAGTGTGCGCGGCGCTAGATGGAGAGCAGCATTTTGAGAACGCCCCATCCATCGTGGCAGCTTTTGTGTTGACACAAGGGCACGGCGAGAGCGACATGTTGACAACGTCCCACCCTCCATCCCTGAAGCTGCTGCGAACTTTCACACGCAGGCGCGCGACGCGAAGGCGGTGCCCACATGTTGAGAAGAACCCGCCCTCCGTTCTCGAAGCTGCTGCAAACGTTTTAAGACGAATGCGCGCGGCGCTACAGTCGGGGCCCTGAAGAAGGAACCCTTTCGGTTGGGGAGGGGCTCCGCGTTCCTTAAGTGTTTCACAGCTTGCCTTAGATTTCCCTTAGGTTTTCGATACGAAATCGAAGTTTAACTGATGGAAAAAGGGGCCTCGTTCCCGGGTCAGCGCCCCGACTGTAAGGCGAGGACCACATTTTGAGCACCGCCCGCCCTCCAGCCGTGAAGCTGCTGCGATTGCCAAAAGCTTCAGGGCCATACGTGGTGAAGGCGTCTCGGGCACCACGCCGGCCTGCCCTGCGGACACGCCTGGGGGGGGGTGCGACGGGGAGGAGTTGCCTATACGGAGAGGAGTGGAGGATGAGGAGGAGGAGGAGGAGGAGGAGGGGGAGGAGGAGGAGGAGGAGGAGGAGGAGGAGGAGGAGGGAGGAGGAGGAGGAGGAGGGAGGAGGAGGAGGAGGAGGAGGAGGAGGAGGAGGAGGAAAGGGGGAAGGGGATGAGGCGGGTGTCGGCGGGAGGAAACGTCGTCGTCGTCGTCGGAGGAGGAAGTGGTGGAGGAGGAGATGGTGGAGGAGAAGGTGGAGGGCGGCTTCTTCAGCGGCCCCCTAGCCCGCGCAAGAAAAGAAAAGCAGGAGGAGGAGAAGGAGGAGGAGAAGGAGGGGGAGGAGGAGGAGGAGGAGGAGGAGGACGATGACTGTGTGAGGAGGAGGGGGAGGATGTGGAAGAGGAGGAGGAGGAGGAGGAGGAAGAGGAGGAGGAGCAGGAGGAGGTGAGGGAGGAGAGGGAGAAGGAGGAGAACGACGTTCTGTAAGTCCCACGAGTCCCCTGGTGGCCTCCGTGGGCCTCTGGAGGCCTTGCAAGGGCAAGTAAAAACAAACAGCGTCTGGATCCTCGGCCTTCCTCATACAAGGATGAGGGCGAGGACGAAAAAGGGGGGAGGAGGACGTTGGAGGAGGAGGAGGAGAATGGCGATGATGATGGTGTCTATGATGATGCTGCTGCTGATGATGCTAATAAGTATGATGCGATTCTGATGCTGATGCTGATGCTGCTGATGACGATGACGATGTTGCTGCTGCTGATGATGATGCTGATGATGCCGATGATGCTGATGACGACGATGCTGCTTCTGATGATGATGATGCTGCTGATGCTGATGCTCATGCTCATGCTGATGGTTGTGATGATGATGGTGATGGTGATGCCGACACTGATGATCATGCTCATGCTGGTTTTGACGTTGATTATGATGAATGTGTTCCCGATGGCGCTGTCAAGCTTGTTGTTGATGATGATGATGCTGATGATGCCGATGATGCTGATGACGACGACGATGCTGCTGCTGATGATGATGCTGCTGATGCTGATGCTCATGCTCATGCTGATGGTTGTGATGATGATGGTGATGGTGATGCCGACACTGATGATCACGCTCATGCTGGTATTGACGTTGGTTATGATGAATGTGTTCCCGATGGCGCTGTTAAGCTTGTTGTTGATGATGGTGATGGTGATTATGACGATGATGATGCTGCTGATGATGATGCTGATGAGGATGATGCTGATGCTGGTGATTTTGGTGATGCTGCTGATGATGCCGATGATGATGATGATGCTGATGCTGATACTGCGGATGATGCTGATGAGCAGGACGGTAAGGAGGAGGAAGAAGACGGTGAGGTCGAGGATGGGGATGATGATGATGATGAGGAGGAGGAGGAGGAGGAGGAGGAGGAGGAAGACACAGAGCAAGGTAGGAAGAGGAGAGGGCGGAATCGAGATAGGACGAGGAGTCGGAGGAGGAGGAGGAACATCATTTTCGAACATTATTTGCTATCACATTCTCCTTGCTCGTTGTCCTTGCTGCGTTGCTGTTCCCGTATGGCGCTGCCGTTGTCGTGCACGCTCTGTTTCTTCCGCTTAGTGTCCGAGGAGATACGGCACAGCCTGTGTGCTTTAGCTGTGATGCTTGTTTTCTAAGCTGGCGGACTCGTTGGAGGAGCACAGAGTCTTCCAGCGTGGATCCCAATCAGTGAATCATTTCACTGTGATGGTGGAAGCAATGCGAGGTAAGCTACGCGGTGTGAGCCTGGAGCTAGACTGTAAAAGTCATGTGGTGTAAGACCTGCTGCGTAACTTATGCGGGGCAAGCAATGTGGTGCAAGCCATGTGGTGTAAGTGCTGTGGTGTAAGTTGTGACCATTATGTAGAGTGAATCTGTGGTTTAAGGTGTTTTGGGTGAGACTTTGGATGGAAGCTAAGTTATGCAATATCTGTTTCAGCTCTACCTTGTAAGCTAGATGGAGTGAGCTGTGTGGTGCGAGCTATGCGGTGTGTGTGCTATGTGGGGTACGCTACGTTGTGTAAGCTAGGCGCCGTAAGCTAGGCGGTGCAGTCTAAGCGGTGGAAGCACCAGGCGCCCACGAGCGGGCGCGGGCGCGGACGTGGAACGACCTCGGGAACCCATCCGGCGCACGGAGCGGCCACGATCGGGCACGGGCGCGCACTTGGCGAAGCCTCGGTGCACTCGCCCAGCGCACGGGGCGCCCACGAGCCGGCACTGGCACGAGCGTGGCGAGGCCCGGGAAGCCCACCCGGCACACACGGGGGGCCCAAGAAGCGCCCACGAGCGGCCACGGACGCGAACGTGGCGAAACCTCGGGAAGCCCATCCAGCGCACGTGGGCGCCAACGCGGCGCCCACGTGCGGGCACGGCCGCGAGCGTGGCCCGGGAAGCCCGTCCAATGCTTCCAGGAGCTGGAGAGCCAGACGCCCCTCTGCGCCAGCGCTGGCTGGCGGGTCGGAGCGCTGCCGGGCGTGCTCGCCGCCCTTCGTCCGCCCTGGGGCTCGACGCCGCCCCGCCTGGAGCCACGCGGGGGCTCTGCGGGCCCGGGGCCTGCAGTGGGCCCCCTCGGGTCCGAGTCCTGCCCCGAGGAGACGGCTGGAAGAGCAGGAGGAGAAGAATGACGAGGGCTGCGTCCTTCCCCTCGTAGACGTCCACGACAGAGCGACCTTCACGTCAGAGCCAGTGCGGCCCCGCTGCCAACGTCGAGAACGCGCAGCCCGCACCCAGCTCAGGGTAGCGACTGCACGGCGGCTACAAGACGCTCATCACCAGCGAGCAGCCACCACCGCCACGACAAACACGAGGCGTGCTCTCCCTCCTCGGCGGGTGCGTGCCCCTACTGCAGTGGGCTGTCTGCACTGATGGTAGGCAGGCGCGCAGGACTCGAGTGACCTGGCCATCACATTGCGACGCGCCGCCCTGTGGGCCGTGCCGCCCTTCGCCCTCCGCCACCCTGCGAGGTCGTGAACTTGGCGCCAGGGGGAAGGAGAGAAGTAGGAGGAGCAGAATCGGAAGGACGAGAATGATGAGGAGGACCAGCGCAAGTCTGAGCTGCATCAGCGATGCTGCAACACAAGCTCTCCAATCCCAAGTCCCCTCACACAGACAGGGCACCACCTTCGGCGCGTTCCTCCTTCGGCGGAAGCCGACAGAAGGCCAGCGGAAGCTGGAAGTCAAACGACGGCATCTCTGCCAGCGGAAGCAGGGGGGTCGCCGGCGGAAGCAAAGCACGACGTCAAGCATTTTTGGGTCCATGTATTTCGGACGCTGGCCATGCGCATTTGCCGTAGCATCTTTTGGGCCCAGCCGTTTCATTAAAGGGCCTCCCCGGCCGCCCTTTCGGACGCCCCCTTCCCTTGGGCTATACACGCAATAGTGGCATTTCTCTCCGGATGGAAAAATCGACACAGACACACATAATCGTCGATGCCCATGGAAATATGGGAAGTGGAGGGGAAGACGAAAACCCATTGAATACGTAGCACCCCGTAGATGCGGATAAGAGTGAGGGGGCGGTGGGGACGTCGGCAGTCTGCGAGACTTTGGAGAAGCCCGCCGCAGGCGCCAAAGTTTCACAAATTATACAACGAGCCCGCCGCAGGCTCCGATTTTTTCTTCAAACCAATGTGTATCGGTCGCGGGTGGGTCGCGAGTGGGTCGCGGGTGGGTCGCGGATGGGTCGCGGATGGGTCGCGGAGTGGGTCGTGGCTGGGTCGCGGGGTGGGTCGCGGGTGGGTCGCGGGTGGGTCGCGGGTGGGTCACGGGGTGGGTCGCGGGTGGGTCGCGGGGGTGACGACGACAACAACAAACAAGAACAACATCAACAACAACAGTACCAACAACAACAACACCAACAATCGTTTTAAGACTTTTCGCTCTTATCTGCTCGAGCGTCCGTTAACGAGTATTTCCCAAACCCTCGATACCCGCACTCTTCGTCTTCGATCGTACCCCTTTTGGGGGGTATATTTTTCTTCCCTGCAGGCCGGGCCCCAGCAAGGTGCGGGGCGGCCGCGGACCGTCGGCCTGGCCAGCGGCGGCGCTGATCTGCGGCAACCCGACCCCACGAGGGACGGACAGGGGACCGACCGCGACGACGACGACGTCGACGACGACGACGACGACGGCGACAACGACGACGACGACGACGAGCGAAAGCGAGAGCGAGAGAGAGAGAGAGAGAGAGAGAACGACAGTAGGGCCACGAAGGGCACGAAGTAGGCCACGAAGGGCGGCAGCGGGGACACGAAGGGAATGCGTTTGGGGCCACGAAGAGCGAGAACGAGCGGGGGCCACGAAGGGCAGATAATGCGGGGCCACAGAAGGCACCGACGAGGCAACCGAGGGTAGCAACTGGGCCACGTAGGACAGCGAGGGGGGCACGAAGGGCGACAGCGGGGCCACGAAGGGCATGGACATGGGGCCACGACGGGCGCGAACGAGCGGGGGCCACGAAAGGCATGCGTATATTGGGCCGCGGAGGGCAACGACGGGGCCACTGAGGGCAGCAACGGGGCCACGAAGGGTAGCGAGGGGGCCACGAAGGGCGACAGCGGGGCCACGAAGGGCATGCACATGGGGCCAGGACGGGCGCGAAGGAGCGGGGGCCACGAAAGGCATACATAAATGGGGCCACGAAGGGCAGCGAGGGGGCCGCGAAGGGCTGCACATGGGGCCACGAAGGGCAGCGAGGGGGTCACGAGGGGCTGCAACGGGGCCGCGAAGGGCAGCGAGGGGGCCACAAAGGGCTGCAACGGGGCCACGAAGGGCAGCGAGGGGGCCACGAAGGGTTGCAACGGGGCCACGAACGGCAGCGAGGGGGCCACGAAGGCAACGGGGCCACGAAGGGCAGCGATGGGGCCACAAAGGGCTGCAACGCAACGGGGCCACGAAGGGCAGCGAGATCCCGATTCCTAAATAACCTGCGAGAGAGTCCTAAGCGTGAGCGCGACTCCTGGGTGCCCGAGTGTCGGGAGCGCGGCGCTTCAGCAAATCACGGGAAATTCCAACGCAAGGGCGTTATTCTTGAGTAAATTGCAAGCAAGTCTCCAGCGAGAGCGCGACTCCAGAGCGCCGAGAAAGCGATTCCAGAATAAATTGTAATGAAGTCCAAAGCGACATCGCGATTCCTGAATAAAATGCGCGGGAATCTCAGGCGGGAGCGGGAGTCCTGGCTAAATTGCGAAGAAGTCTCAGGCGGGAGCCGTTGTCGTTGGTGTTGTTGTTGTTGTTGTTGTTGTTGTTGTTGTTGTTGTTGTTGTTGTTGTAACCTGGGGGCCAGGGGCCCAGTTTGAGGAGAAACATTTTCCTTGATTAAAAAACGGGGTGCGAGCGCCGGGAGGGGCACTTCAATTGAAAAAGCAGTGTGCACCGGAGGGGGGATCAACAATAATTATTCTTCAGTCGTGAGAGTACAAAACAATAACAACGCAACGAGCATAATCCTGACCACGGATTCTCGCTTCAGGCACGCACCCAGGGACAATGAACGACCGTTCAGCCTCCCCACCCTGATGTAAAAGCAGATGGGATCCTACGATCTGTGTCTGTTTATCTTTGCGTCCCTGGGCCCCCTCGTGCTCGCCGGAGCGACCTCTGGTGCGCGGCCTTCGCGCGGCGCGCGGGGGGGGGGGGCAGACCCACAGCACGCAGGCAGCTCCTCCGCCGCGCCGCACGCAACGACCGCCACGCCGCGCACCAGATGAGGCGTTCCCGAAGGGGTTTCGCCATCGAGGGTCGAGGAATTTGCCGCCGTTTCCTGGGCGGGATGGCGGAGGAGGGTCGGCGCAAACCCGCAGAAGCCAAGCGAGGCTACCTGCGCCAGCGGAAGCCGGCGGAAGACCGGTGGAAGGCGGCGGAAGTAAAAGGTACGCCCCCGAGAGATAGCATGCTTGGGGGGTCCAGGGTCCCCGGCGTCGGCCAGATGTCACTCCTGCCCAGGATCATTGGGGAAACCCAAAGACATCGAGACGGGTACTCCCTGGTGTCTCTCCCGGGGTGCGGTCGGACTAGACTTCCGAGGCCACTGCAGCCGTGGCGACGAGGGCCTCCCAGGAGCCCCCAGAGGTCGAGACAACGAGGTTCGAAGGCAGCGGCATCGGCACCACCTTCTCCTCCGAGTCGCTCGCGCGCGGGGCCGACCTCCGCGGCGGCCATGCTGGCGGTGCGGCTCCGCGCAGCGCTGCGCGAACGACATTCGGGCGTTGCCAGAGGTGTCCCTGGCCCGAGGCTTGGCGGCGCGCACAATGGGCTTACAGGGGGAGCTAGGGAAGAAGGCTCCTCAGAAGGAGGCTGCTTCTTAGAAGGCGTGGGCCCTGGAGATGTAGACAAGGCTGGCGCCTTCAAAGAAGCAGCCTTCCTCTCAGAAGCCTGCCCCTCTCCCCCGATCCCCCTGTGCGCGCCACCAGAACGTGTCCCCAGGATTCCTGGGAAGGCCCAGATGGCTTCCAGAGTACTCCAGATTTCGTAATAAAAGGGAGGGGGTCTGGACCCTCCAAGACAAGCCATTTCAGACCTCCCCCGTGGGAGAACCCTCCAAAACATCGTCCCCAGACCCCCCCAGGCCCTCCAAGATAGCCTGGAAAAGACCCCCCCCGAAATGAGACCCCCCTCCCTTTATTACGAAATCTGGAGTACCTCTCACGAGGCTCAGATGACCCCAGGAGTTCCAGAACGGAGCGAACAGCTGCGGGCACCCCAGGAGCCCCCCGGACGTCATGTGTTTTTCCATGACGTGGGCCCCAGAGGTCTCGACCCCTCCCCCAGGACCAGTCTTTTCTCTCCCGAGTCCTTCGGTCGGCAGTCCCGGGGCCCCGGGAGGCCGAAAAACGTGAAGAACCGCGCGCCGTGTCTTGACTCGACGGGGTCTGGGACCTTGGGGCCAAGACCACCCCCAGCAACACCCGAGTCTTTTGGTGGACAGTCCCAGGGCCCGGTCAGGGCCCCCAGGAGGCCGAAAAGAGTGAAGAACCGCGCGCCGTTTCTTGACTCGACCTCGACGGGGTCTGGGACCTTGGGGCCCAGACTCAGGAGGGGAAAAAACACACAGACACAATGACTCGACGATCCCGGGGAAAATATGGGAAGTGGGGGGGAAGACAAAACCCAGAAAATATAAGAAAATATGGGGAATCTTTTTATTTGTGTGTACCTATTTGTGTGTCTCAGGGCCCCCTCAAAGACCACCCCCGGCAACACCCGAGCTATGTGGCCCCGAGGGCGGCGCCCACCCTCCGCGGCACCGTCGAGCGCCGGAGCGCCCGGTACGCGTCGTCGACCGGCGGTGGTCCTCGGCAGGAGGCCGCGAGGAGCGAGGGCGCAGCGGCCGCCGAGCGGGCCAAGGTCCTCCTCCTCCCTCCTCCCTCCTCCTCCTCCTCCTCCTCCTCCTCCTCCTCCTCCTCCTCCTCCTCCTCCTCCTCCTCCTCCTCCTCCTCCTCCTCCTCCCTCCTTCTCCTCCCTCCTCCTCCTCCTCCTCCTCCTCCTCTCCTCTCCTCCCGCTCCTCCTCCTCCTCCTCCTCCCCCTCCTCCTCCTCCTCCTCCTCCTCCTCCTCCTCCTCCTCCTCCTCCTCCTCCTCCTCCTCCCCCTTCTCCTCCTCCATGGCGCAGGCGTGAGCAGGCCTCGCGCTCCCTGAGATCCTGGCGTCTCAGCTCCATCGAGCCGGGCGCATTCGCAGGGTTTCTTCGGGCCCCAGGGCCCTCACAGATCGATCCGGCCCAAGAAATGGCGCAGCAAGACGGGGCCCATGTGGAGGCTGGTGCCACTTATGCGACTTGCAACGTAGCTACACGTAGCTAAGGTATCTTAGCTGCTTACGCTAGCTACTGAGGGCCACATATAAGGTACTGATTCAGCTACTTAGGCTGCATGTTGCAAGTTCCATGAGGGCTATTTAAGCGTTGCTTATAACTACATTTAAGTTTTTACCTCTGATTGCTGAGAGGCCCACTCTTCCTCATCGCCCCACTTCTCCCTTCGAGTCTATTCGCCCTTGCCCCCATGGAATATTCCATGTCGAAGCCCATGGATGGTGGAACCCATGGCGTCATCTATGTCGCAACGCATGGAACAATCCATGGATGGCGCAGCCATGGCGCAACCGTGGGGCAACCCATTGCTCCACCTGTGTTGCTTTTGCACGGAAGAGCCCAGGCTGGCCTCGGAGGAGGCGGCCACAGAAGGAGGATGCGGAGGACGACGACGACGACGATACCGATGCCGAGGAGCAGGCCGACGGGGCCCACAGTGGTTGGCCCGCTCGGTTCTACGGGCTTGCGCTCGATGTATGCTCGCCGTTCGGGCTGGCGCCGGGGCCAAACGATGATCTGCCGTGTGATCATCGCTGCCCGCACCCGTGGCAAGCTTTATCCGTCCACACCACCACCCCATCCCACTCCCTTCACTCCGACCGTCTTCCCTCCCTTCTCCCCTGTCCCCTCTCTTCGCTCCGCCCTTTCCCCCCTTCCCTTATGTCCTGCCTGGTTCCTCCGATCTCATGTCCCTTCCCCTCCCACTCCCTTCCCTCTCGTCCCCCGTCCCTCCCCCTCCTGCTTTCCTCACTCCTCCCTCAATCCTCTCCCTCCCTCTGAACGCCCTCCCTCCTTCCCCGTTCCATCCCTCACCCCCGTTTTCCTTGTCATCCTCCATCCCCCTCCCTCCCTCCCTCCCTCCCTCTGTCCCACTCTCGCCCCCTCTATCTTCGCCCGCCCGCCCTCCCCCCTTCCCGCACCTGCGTCGCACTCCCATCCCCCATCCTCGTCTCCAATCCTGCTGCCACCATCCCCCTCCCCTTCTCCATGCTGCCTCGCCCTCTCGTCGTGTTTCTCCTGACGGTCGCTGGGGCGGGCAAGGGGGGGAGGGGAGTAGGGAGAGGGAGTCGGGGGACCAGCGCTCAGGAGGGATGGGCGGCTGCGATCACGTTCATGCGGTCGCTTTGGGGAGTTGTGATGACGATGTCGGGGGCAGCGAGTGCGATCTCAAGAAAATGGGCAGCGAATGCGGCCGCACGCAAGCCAGCATCGTTCAGTTACTTACACGCGCTAAGTAGCACACGTGGCACAAGTATCACCCAGTGTTAGATGTTGGTGTGCGATGATATATGTTAGTATGTGTTGCTATATCTTGCTACCTTCTACACACCGAGAATGATGCCAACCTGCAACACACCAGATGCTACACTATAACAACATGTAATACACAATAGATGCAACCTGCAATACACCAGATGCCAACCTGCAATACACCAGATGCTACACCGAGAATGATGCAACCTGCAACACACAGATGGGCCTTGCGTCCGTTCTACGCATGAGTGTGATCCCGTCGCACTGTATTCGGCCATCCTGGGCCCAAATGCATCCAATATCCACCACCACCACCACCCTGGGCACCTGGGAGGTCAGCTCCCAAGGCGGTGGGTCTGTAAACGTCCCCGCCTCGAGCCAAGGACCAGATGAGAGAGCAGGGGCCACCGCCACCCACCCCTGGGCGATGGCACGCCTGTGAGTCGTCCAGCACCAGACGCTCGGACGGCCATCGCCCAGGGGTGGCCCCCCCCCCTCCCCCAATGAGGGCCCCAGACCACCCGCGCTGCTCCTGAGGGGCCCGCTGGCCAGCAGGCCGGCGGACTCAGCGCGCTCTGCTCCGCTCCTCCCCCAGATGGGTTGTCGGTGGCGGTGGCCTCTTGTCTCTCCTCTGAATGGATCGAAGATCCTCAGGATGTGTGTTAGCCCAATGCGTTTTTGGCCCGTGTCGTATCGAGGGGCTTTGCTGGACAAGCACGCGTTGGCGCTAACACCAGCCCTGAGGATCCTCGAAAGGAGTCGCAGCGCCTCTGGGACCTGGCGGTGCCGGAGCGCAACTGGGACATCCGGCACCCCTTCCTCCCCGCGCTGCTGCTGGGCATTCTGGGCATGCAGCCGCCGCGGTCGGCTGGGCGCGGCAGGCGGCGGGGAGGAGCGCCCAGTGGAGCGGCCAGGCACAGCCTCCGAGGGCCAGTGAGTCTGCTGCTGCGCTGTCCACTTCAGAGAAGCCTCCTCCCGGCTTCGCCTCGGCCCCACGTCTCTGCAGAGGGCGCCAGCTATACTACCCCCTACGCAGATCCTGGCCCTACCCGCCCTGGGCCCCAAATCGGCTTCAACATACACACACGTCTATCAAAGTGAGGGGGCCGAACGGTCGTTCATTGTCCGTGGGCGTGTGGCTAAAGTGAGGTTCTGCGGTGAGGGTTGTTGTTGTTGTTGCTGCTGTTGTTGTTGTTGCTGCTGTTGTGGTTTTGGTTGTTGTTGTTGATGATGTTGTTATTGATATTGTTGTTGCTGTTGTTGTTGTTGCTGCTGTTGCTGCTGCTGCTGTTGTTGGTTGTGGTGGTGGTGTTGCTGCTGCTATTGTTATTGTTGTTGCTGTTGCTGTTGCTGTTGCTGTTGCTGGCTTGAGCAACCGGCGTGCTCGACCTGGCCTCCTGGGCCCTCCTTCCCGACCCACCTGGTAGGGTGTACCCGCCCGATCTGCCCGTCTGGTTCTGCCACGTATTTTCTACTCCTAGCCCGTGCTTCATCCTTCTCCCTCCCCCTTATCCTTTCTTCCATCCGTCCTCTCTTCCCCTGCCTCAGGGGCTGCGCGAAATACACGTTGCAGGTAAGAAAGATATACCCCCAGGGGGTGCGATCGAGGACGAAGAGCGCGGGTACCGAGGGTTTGGGATATACGTGTTGAATGGCACGCGTCCTAAACTGTTTGTTGTTGCTGTTGTTGTTGTCGCTGTTGTTGTTGTTGCTGTTGTTGTTGCTGTTATTGTTGTTGTTGTGGTATTGTTGATGGTGTTGTTGGTGGTGGTGTTGTCGTTGTTGTTGCTTGTGTGTTTGTCGTTTGTTGCTTGTTGCTTTTGTTTGTTGTGTGTTGTGCTTTTTGTTGCTTGTTCCCCACATCCAAAGTGGGGCTCTTTCTTCCTCTGGACACCCCGCTCAGAAATTCACCCACTTACCGCTCATTCACTCACTCACATTCATCATCACCATCATCGTCATCATCCTCATCATCATCATCATCAGCATCATCATCATAATCATCATCATCATCAGCATCATCATCATCATCATCATCATCATCGTCATCACTGCCACCATCATCATTATCATCATCATCATCAGCATCATCATCAGAAAAGTCCTGGACTTGCCTGCCGCTGTCGGGGGGGGCTAGGCGGCTGCTCCCCTTGTCGGAGCGCCGGCAGGCAACGGCTCACATGCGGGGCGCGGCGGGCGCAGGGCGCGCTTGCGCGTTTCGCCCCGCGCCGTGCGGCCGCGACTGGACGCCGCGTCGGCCATGTCGGCTTCGGCGACCTGGGAGGCGGAAAAGGCCGGAAGATCTCCCTGGATCATCCTGGCCCTGCACTGCTTGCTGGCGAATTTGAGGTGGTGGAGCGCGCGAGGGCGCGTGAAAAAGTCCGTTGAGCAAGCTGGGCATATCGTGCCAAGGATATGATAGCGCCCATGCATTTTTATGCCGTGCGCGTGCCTCCTGTGGGCGGCCAAGCCTTTGGAGCAGCGGCATTCCTTCTGGCAGTCAGGGCACGTAAGACTCGGGGCCGGCGCGAGCAGCCGCCCTGGCGGGGGAGGTTGCTTCCCTTGCTGCCGGCGCAGAATCGTTTGGGATTGTGGGGCCTCGCATGGAGAAGCACGAAACGCATGACACAGACGTCTCCATCTCGCGGGCTCCGAAGCTATGAACTCGCGCCAGGCACCCGGAAAGTGGAACGGGTCCCCGAGGGTCTGGGCTTCTGTCGGGAATGCGGCTGCGAGCTGCCCAAGGTCTGCCAGAAGCTGATGTGCCGATGCGGGCTTGGGTACGGTTGTGATGCAGCGTAGCACCAGCGGCGGCGCACGCAGCTGCGAGCCCAGGCCTGCCGAGCGTTGCGCACGCACCAGAGAGGCGAGCGGGGGCGCCTGCAGCGCGGTCCGCACCTCGAGGTCCGTCGGCGTGCCGGGGGCCCCGTAGCGCATCGAGCCGCGAATGCGGCGTGGCACTCGGTGGTACTTCACCACATACCAGACCACCCCAACCCAACCCGAAGGCCTCAATTTGCCCTTCATTTCCAGTGGGGGGGGGTCGGGGAACGTCGAAAAAACACATGGAACCCGTACCCCCCCCAACCCGAAATTCGGGTCAAATTCGGGTCTTCGGGTTGGGTTGGGGTGGTTTGGTAGGTAGTCAGTACTGGGCCTCCAGAGGGAGCCAACCCTTGCCTGCCGATTTGGGGAAGGTTGCATAGTCCCCCAGCGCCGCCTGTCGGCGCTTCCACATCTAGCTCCCTCGGCGGGCGCCCGCAGCACTGCCTGCAAATTGGGACTCCTGGTCTGCCTCTGTGCACGGCCGGAGCCGCTCCACATCTGTCGGCCTCCCGGATAGCCTGGCATCGCTTGGACGTGTGCATTGTTTTCTCGGCGAGAACCATCGAGGAGCATCCTTGATCATGTGGCGAAAAAGCCACGCACGAAACCGAAAAAAACACAGGGAATGGACGTCCGAGCGATGGCGAGATAGGATATCGAAGGTTTTCCACCCACGCGGTGGTTTTTCCCTTCTGACTGCGCTTGCTCATCTAGCCAGCGCGGCCTGCAGGCCTCGCACTGCGCCGCCAGCATTCTCGCACACGTGCTTCAGCTTCGCCTACAGCCGGCACGAATCGAATCATCATCGTAACTATCACCTTCACTTACCCACTCATACTGACTCACTCACTCATCTCAGGCGGGAGCCTCGTCTGTGAGTGAACCCAGAGGAAGTCTCAGGCGAGAGCCCTCTCCCTATGTGGCCCGCAGCTCATGTTTGTAATCCGAGCGGGTCATCGGAAACCTTTACCTCTCGTCGCTTTTGGGCTCCAGGCGTGTAAATATGGAGGAACTATGAGGCGGGAGCTTCGTCAGTGAGTGAATTGCGAAGAAGTCTCAGGCGTGAGCCCCCTCCCTATAAGGCCCGCAGCTCACGTTTGTATTCCGAGCAGGTCATCGGAAATTTATACTGTCGTCACTTTTGGCCCCCTGAGGCTTGAATATGGAGGAAGTATGAGGCGGGAGCTTCGTTTGTGAATGAAGTCTCAGGCGGGAGCCCCCTCCCTCCTTATGGGGCCCGCAGCTCATGTTTGTAATCCGAGCGGGTCATCGGTTACCTGTAACGCTCGTCACTTTTGGCATCAGGGCGTTTGAATATGGAGGAAGTATGGGGCGGGAGCCTCGTCTATGAGTGAATTGCGAAGAAGTCTCAGGCGGGAGCCCCCTCCCTGTGGGGAATGCGGCTCACGTTTGTAATCCGTGCGGATTATGGGAAACCTGTAACTCTCGTCACTGTCGGGGCCCCTGAGGCTTGAATACGGAGGAAGTATAAAGCGGGAGCCTCGTTTGTGAATAAATTGCGAACGAGTCTTAGGCGGGAGCCCCCCCCCTTGAGGCCCGCAGCTCATGCTTGTAATTCGAGCAGGTTATGGGAAACCTGTAACTCTCTTCAACTTTGGGCCCTGGAGGCCTGAATGTGGAGGACGTATGAGGCGGGAACTTCGTTTGTGAGTGAACTGCGAGGAAGTCTCAGGCGGAGGCCCCTCCGTATGGGGCCGGCAGCTCATGTTTGTAGTCCGGTTATCGGAAACCCGTAACGGTCGTAATTTTTGGGCTCCTGAGGCTTGAATATGGAGGAAGTATGGGGCGGGAGCTTCGTTTGTGAATGAATTGCGAGGAAGTCTCAGGCGGGAGCCCCCTCCCTGTGGGGCCCGCAGCTCATGTTTGTAATCCGAGCGGGTCATCGGGAACCTGTAACTGTCGTCACTTTTGGGTTTTTCAGGTTTGAGTATGGAGGAAGTATAACGCGGGAGCCTCGTTTGTGAGTGACTTGCGAAGCAATCTCAGGCGGGAGCCTCCTCCTTTTGGGGCCCGCGGTTCACGTTTGTATTCCGAGCAGGTCACCGGAGGCTTGTACTGTCGTCATTTTTGGGCTCCTGAGGCCTGAACATGGACGAAGTACGAGGCGGGAGACTCGTCTATGAGTGAACTGCGAGGACGTCTCAGGCGGGAGCCCCCTCCCTATGGGGCCCGCAGCTCATGTCTGTAGCCAGTTTATTGGAAACTTCTAACGGTCGTAACTTGTGGGCTCCTGAGGCCTGAATATGTAAGAATTATGCGGCGGGAGCTTCATGTGTGAGTGAATTGCGAGGAAGTCTCAGGCGGGAGCCCCCTCCCTATGAGGCACGCAGCTCATGATTGTAATCCGAGCGGGTCATCGGGAACCTGTAACTGTCGTCACTTTGGGGCCTTTCCAGGTTTGAGTATGGAGGAACAGTATGAGGCGAGAGCCTCGTTTGTGAGTGAATTTCGGAGAAGTCTCAGGCGGGAGCCTCCTCCTTTTGGGCCCCGCAGCTCACTATTGTAATCCGAGCAGGTCATCGGACAATTTACACTGTCGTCACTCTCGGGTTCTTGAGGCTTGACTATGGAGGACGTATGAGGCGGGAGCCTCGTCTGTGAGTGAACTGCGAGGAAGTCTCAGGGGGGAGCCCCCTTCCCTATGGGACCCGCAGCTCATGTTTGTAATCCGAGCGGGTCATCGGGAACCTGTAACTGTCGTCACTTTTGAGCTCCTCAGGCTTGAAGATGCAGGAAGTGTCAGGAGGCATCCTCGTCTGTGACTGATTTGCAAGGGAGTTATGTTGGGGGCCGTCCGAGGAGCTATTTGGCTTTTGGGTTCGTCGCATTATGCGAGGCGAGAGCTTTGGGCCTCGTCAGGTATGCGAGCCTCTGGCCGCGTACGACTCTTGTATGATCAGCCAGCGTCGGCGAGAGCCTCTGGCCTCAGGCCTGAATTCTTTGGCCTGTGGCCTGAGGCTTGTGGCCTCGGCGAAGAGGAGGAGGAGGAGGAGGAGGAGGAGGAGGAGGAGGAGGAGGAGGAGAAGGAGGGGGGAGAAGGAGGAGGAATGCCCTGGGAGGCCCCAGGAGGTCCCGGGAGGCCCAGAAGGCTCCAGGAGACCTCAAGAGGCCTCAGGAGGCCCAGGAGGAGGCAGGAAGCCTAAGGAGGAGGCAGGGAGGAGGAGGAGGAGGGGAGAGGAGGGGAGGAGGAGGAGGAGGAGGAGGTGGAGGAGGAGGAGGGAGGAATATGGAGACGAGGAGGAGGAGGCGGAGGAGGGGAGAGGAGAGGAGGAGGAGGAGGAGGAGGAGGAGGAGGAAAGAGAAGAGAAGGAGGAGGCGGAGGAGGAGGAGGAGGGAAAAGGAGGAGGAAGAAAAGGAGGAGGAGGAGGAGGTGGAGTAAGCAAGAGGAGGAGGAGGAGGAGGAGGCAGGGGTTGAGGCAGGAGGAGGAGCAGGCAGGAGGGGAGAAGGAGGAGGCAGGAGTAGGTGGGAGAAGGGAGGGGGCAAGAGGATATCCCCAGGCAGGTTAAATACATTATCGTGCTGGGCCCCACCGTCGGAGTAACTGTTTGGTGCTTGTTGTTGTTTATTGTTGTTTGTTGTCGTTTTCCCTCCCCGCGACCCGGCCCGCGACCCACCCGCGACCCACCTGCGACCCACCTGCGACCCACCTGCGACCCAGCGTGCGATCCAGCCGGGACCCGCCCGCGACCCTCCCGCGACCCACCCGCGACCCACCCGCGACCCCGCGACCCACCCGCGACCCGACCCGACCCGCCCGCGACCCGCTCGCGACCCACCCGCGACCCACAAGCGACCCACCCGCGACCCACCCGCGACCCACCCGCGACCCGACCCGCGACCCACCTGCGACCCACCCGCGAACCACCCGCGACCCACCCCACGACCCACCCACATAGTTTTGATGAAAAATCGGCGCCTGCAGCGGGCTCGTATAATTTGTGAAAATTAGGCGCATGCGGCGGCCTTCTTCAGAGCCTCGCAGACTGCCAACGTCCCCGCCGCCCCCTCTCTCTTATCCGCAACGGCGGGGTGCTACGTATATACATATCATGCATGCATTGCAGCATGCATTTGTGTCTGTCTGTCTGCCTGCCTGCCTGCCCGCCTGCCTGCCTACCTGTCGCTCTGTCGCTCTGTCGCTCTGTCTGTCTGTCGGTGTGTCTGTCTGTCTGTCTGTCTGTCTGTCTGTCTGTATGCTGGTATGTAAGTATGTATGCAGGTATGGAGGTATGTATGTATACATGCCCTGTGTGCAGCTTGCGCTCTCCCATCTCGTCGGCAGTCTCCGGGCCCGGTGTCGCAGTCCCCTGCGAACCCCAGGGGCTGTGCGTGGAAGGTTGGCCCAGCGGTTGCGCACGATCTGCGCATCAGCAAGCTGACTCGGGTTTTCTCTGGCGACCTTACATCCATCGCCTCGGCTGTAGAGTCAGAGAGGCAGATGGCCCGCCCATCAAGATCGCCCAGCTCGCCGGCAGGGGGTTGTTGGCGTGGGCGGTGGCCTTCTGAGAAGGCAGGGGTTGGGGTTTCTTGGGTTGTCGGTCTTTGCCGAGGCTCCTCGGATGGCGGGCGGGCTTTGTTGAGCCGGGTCGGACGACAGGGCGGGATAGGGAAAGGGGGCGTGGTGTTTTCGTCTTTGCGTGCAGCTGGTTTCGTCTCCGCCGTGGGGCCCCTTCCTCGATCCATTGGCGACTCTGGCGCCGGGAGGCGCTAAGAAAATCAGCTGCGTGAGCTGACTTGCTAACCCCCCCTGTCGTCCGACCCGACATGGGCCTTTTGACTTCTCAGAGGGCTGCCCCCCCGCGCCTGGGCCCCGTGCTGCGCGCCTCAGGCCATCGGCCGACCTTGATCGGCCAGTGGGTCCTGACTCGCCTCATGCCGGAAGCGGCGATCAGAGCCAACAGCCCAGGGGGGGAGCAATACACGTATCTAGGGGCCATGGGCGCCGATGGTCCATGTCTTTGGCGAGGCTCCCTGGCCAATGCGTGTGATGCCCGCCCCCGGTCTATTCGCCCCTTTCGTCGCCGCCCAGCATGGCCCCCCCCCTGGCCCGCAGCGCTGGCCCCGCGAGCCGACCGCGGCTCCAGTGGGCCATCAGCAGCTCCGCGACCACGACCGAGGAGAGCGAGGCGAGGGATGCCGAACGTGCCAAGGCCGAGCTCGCAGAGCGCAGAGCACGACGGGTCGCGTAGGGGCGCGGCCGCCGCGGAGGCACTGCCGCGCAGAGGTGCCGCTGCCGCGGAGGCGCCCCCAGCGCGGAGGCGCGGCTGCCGCGGAGGCGCCGCTGCTGCGGAGGCGCGGCTGCCGCGGAGGCGCGGCTGCCGCGGCGGCGCCGCTGCCGCGGAGGCGCCGCTGCTGCGGAGGCGCGGCTGCCGCGGCGGCGCCGCTGCCGCGGAGGCGCCGCTGCCGCGGAGGCGCCGCAGCCGCGGCGGCGCCGCAGCTGAGGAGGGACGGGGTGTGAGGAGGAGGGGCGTGCGGAAGGCGAACGGGCTCTCTGGGCGCGGCTCGGCGGGCGCACGCGCGCGGGTCAGCGCGGAGGGGCGCGCCCGCGCGCGGGCGCGCAGGCGGGCGCGGAAAGGCCGCCGCGCGCACGAGGCGGAGGGGTGTGCGGGTGGTGGCTAAGACCTCCTGGGCGTCTGGAGTTTTCTTCGCTGTCCAGATGCTGTCGGCAAGGGCCCACCACTGCATCAGATCAGCGCTCCGAGCGGCGACCTGTTCAGGGGAGCTCGCATGGAGCACCAACACGTGGCACCGTGCCGGAATCCACGGGGCAGCCGTGACATGTGGCACGCTTTCCTGCTTCGTGTCGGTGTGCTCCTCGTTCTCGGTGTCGTCCTCGGCCTAGGCAGGAGTCTCAACGATATAGCGCTGGACGTTTGCATCCTTCGGCGTTCTGGATGCCGGTTGCGCTGTCGGCCCCCCCGCGGACGACGGCAATGCCAATGACAGCGCCGATACCGATCACGCCGATTAGGATGATGGTGCCGGCGATGAAGGTTTTGCAAGGATTTCGGAATGCGCGCGCGACGGCGATGCGCTCGACTGGCCTGCATCGTAATATTGACAGTGATCGCGTTGTCCCCAGCACGCGCGCAATGGCGTTCGAAAGATTTGGACATGCGCGCGCGACGGGCCCGTTTGGTTACATTTTATGAAACAAGGAACAAGACAATGGCTGTCTTCAGAATTTGCGGGAGCGTGCGCACAGTTTTTAAATTCATGTTTCAACACCACTTGTTTTACAGATTTTCGGGACACTCGATTTCGACACTGCGGATGCTCCGTATTGTTCGGCATGCGCGCGCGTGTGGATTTCGTGGCATGTTTTGCTACAGCGGGTTCTTGCAAATCGATGACGTTTGATCCACCAGTGCGCGCGCATATGACTTGTGCAAAGGATGGCGGGGCCAGGCGATACCCGCTTGGTTGGGGTGCTGTGACTTCATATGTGAAGTTAACCAGGAGGCACCATCCTATCTTGCGGTACAAACGAAGGACCGGATAGTCGGTGGGGGATATAATCAATTTTTCTGCTCAGGAAGGATAGTCTAGGTAGTGCAATGTATGTGGAGCGATCGACGTGGTGCAAATCTTTTTTTGTTCGCGGCGAGTTGTCAACTCCACTGCTCGTGCAATTTTCCCACCCACCAGCAAAATGGTTTGCAAACTCATGAGGCGGCAATTGTGATGCCTGTGTGCGCTGGCTGGCGCACCGCAGCGGCCGCGTGCAATCTACGTGGTGTAACTAATTTCTGTTCGCATTGAGCTGTCCACTCCATTGCTCGCGCAAACATCCCACACACCCACCCGCAACTTGCTTTGCAAAACCTCTTAAGACCGTCACGGTGGCACTTGGCAACGACACCGACGCCGACGACGACAGCGACAACGACGACGACGGCGCCGACAACGACTACGACGACACCGACGACGTCTCCAACGACTTCGACGACGCCGACAACGACGACGACAACGACACCGACGACAACAACGACGACGACCACGCCGACGACGACGACGACGACGATGACAACAACGACGACGACGACGCGGACGACGACGACGACGACGCCGACGACGACGAAGACGACGACGATGACGACGACGACGTCGCCAACGAAGACGACGACGACGAGGGAGGATGGAGGACGACGACGGCGGCAACGACGACGACGACGACGAGGGAGGAGGGAGGACGGCGACGACGCGAACGATGAAGAAGGAGGGAGGACGGCGACGCCGACGACGACAACGACGACGACGACGCCGACGCCGACGACGACGACGATGACAACAACGACGACGACGACGCGGATGACGACGACGACGCCGACGACGACGAAGACGACGACGATGACGACGACGACGTCGCCAACGAAGACGACGACGACGAGGGAGGAGGGAGGACGACGACGGCGGCAACGACGACGACGACGACGAGGGAGGAGGGAGGACGGCGACGACGCGAACGATGAAGAAGGAGGGAGGACGGCGACGCCGACGACGACAACGACGAGGGAGGAGAGAAGACGACGACGACGACGACGATGACGGCGACGAAATAGGAGGGGCAACGACGAAACGCCCAGAAAGACGACGAGGGAGGAAGGACGACCACGGCGACAACGACGACGGAAACGACGACGACGCCAAGACGACGGCGACGAGGGAGGAGGGAGGACGGCGACGACGACGACGACGCAAGAGAGCGCGCGCGCTTTTGCTGAATATCCGTGTTGCGAAACCCAGTGTTTTCGTATGTTGTTTTACACTCGATGTTTACATCCTTCCGAAACCGAAGGTTTTTGAAGGGTGCACGCGCACTTCGTCCCATTTGTTGCAGAGGATTCTCGCGACGGCACGCGCGCAAGGGCGTTCGAAAGATTTCGACATGCGTGCGCGCGAAGCCCGTTTGGCAATATTTCGTGAAAATAATTTTGGTTTTCTTAAGATTTCGCAAGAGCGCGCGCGTAAGTATTTCTAGCACATCAGTGTTGCGAAACCCTGTGTTTTGTAGGTGTTTTGGAAAACTCGATTTTGAAATCCTTCAGACATCGAGAGTGTTTGAAGGATTTCGGCATGCGCGCGCGACGACTCGCGCGTGCGCACTTCGTCCCATTTGTTGCAAGGGGCTCTTGGCAACTTATGGCTCTTGATAAACTAGAGTGCGCGCGTAGTATTTGTTGAAGATGATGGCGGGGGGGGACTGATACGCGCTTGGCGGGGATAGTATCAATTCATTTTTCGGGTGGACAGTGGGGCGGAATCATCCGTAAATTGCAATACGGAAAGGCGTATCGTGAATTACGGGGTGGTGGTGTCCATTCTTCTCTCTAGAAAGGAGAAGCAAGGAGGTGCAAGTATTTGAGGTTCGCGTTGGGTTGTCAACCCCATTGCGCGCGCAATCATCTCACCGACCAGCCCGCAACTTGACTGTTGTAAACCCATGCGGCGGCAATTGTTCAGGAGGGGAAAAAACACACAGACACAACTAATCGGCGATTCCCAGAAAATATGGGAAAAGATGGGAAATGGGGGGGAAGACAAAAACCCAGAAAGTATTGGAAACTAGGGGGAATATTTTTATCTGTGTGTATATATTTGTGTATCCCAGTTCCCCTTCAATTGTGGTGCCTGCCCGACGCTGGCTGGCGCACCGCCGCGGCCGCGCCAGCGGTTGCGGGGGCGCCGGCCCGCGCGCAGAGAGCGGCCAGCCAGTCTGGCGCGATCGGGGCGGCGCCGCGGTGGCGCAGACCGCTGGGGACACCCAGGCCCTCCTCCTTCTCCTCCTCCTCCTCCTCCTCCTCCTCCTCCTCCCTGTCCTCCTCCTCCTCCTCCTCCTCCTCCTCCTCCTCCTCCCTGTCCTCCTTCTTCTCCTCCTCCTCCTCCTTCCCCTCCCGGTGGCGCAGCCGCGGTGCGTCTCACAGGCCGCGCTGTCGCGCGGGCGCGGCAGTGCGAGTCGGTGATTCGGGCGGGCGCGGTATCATGGCGACGTCGACAACAACGGTCGGCACGATGTGACGATTTGGGATGGCAGCGGTGCGAATGGCGACGATGACGACGGTGATGGTAGCAAGGAGAAGCATGGCGCAGATGCTGCTCACGCCAATGGCGATGATGGTGCCCACGCGTCGGTGATGACGGTTTTGGAACACGTTTGACATGCGTGCGCGGCCAACGGGCGCGAATGGTCCGCATGGTGTGCTTTGATAGGGGTCGCGCCCCCACCCCCCACGCAGCATGCACGCCAGGGCGTTCGAATGATTTCGGCATGCGCGCGCGCGAGAAGCCCGTTTGGTCGCGCTTGGCGAACATGCTGAACAACCGATGGTTTTCTGGGGCATTCGCAAGATCTTGCGCGCGCCTTCTCTGTTGAAAAGTGATGTTGCGACACCATATGTTTGTGCATGTGTTCGAGGCATTGAATTTTAAATCCCTTTACGCAATCGATGACTCATGAAAGGTTTCGGACTGCGCGCGCGACGACTCGCGCACGTACACTCCGTCTTGTTGTTTTGCAAGGGATGTGTGGTAATAGATGAATTGTGGTAAACGAGTATGCGCGCATTGTGTTTTTTGAAGAGATTGGTCTGGTGGTGGGGGGCGATACTGGTTGGGCTGGGATGATATGGCTTCATCTCCAGAATGAGCAAGAAGGCGAAACCGAATGGAAATTTCATTTTCCCAGGGCAGGGGGATCATCCCAGAGGGGGTAGGTTTCAAATCTTTGTAGAAAGGAGAATCTATGTGTAGCAATCCATGTGGTGCTTCCCAAGTACTGCAATATAGGAGGTCAATCGACGTTGTGCAATCTATATGGGGCAATCTACATGGTGCAATTAATCTTGACCGTCTTGAAGCTGTCCTCTCCACTGCTCGTGCAAACATCCCACCCTCCCACCCGCAACTTGGCCGCAAGACATCTTCAGACAAGACCGTGACGGTAGGTACTGCATGGCACTTGGCCACGACACCGATGCCGACGACGACAGCGACATCGACGACGACGGCGCCGCCGACAGCGACTGCGACGACACCGACGACGTCTCCAATGTTTTCGACGACGACAACGACGACGACGACACCGACGACGACGACAACGACGCCGACGACGACGACGAAGACGACGACGACGTCGCCAACGGAGACGACGACGAGGGAGGAGAAAAAACGACGACGGCGACAACGACGACAACGACGATGGAGGAGGGAAGACGGCGACGACGCCAACGACGAAGAAGGAGGAAGGACGGCGACGCCGACGACGACAACGACGAGGGATGAGGGAAGACGACGACGATGACAACGACGACGAAGACGACGACGACGGCGACGAAATAGGAGGGACGACGACGAGACGCCGACGACGGACGACGACGACGAGGGAGGAGGATAACGACGAGGGAGGAGTGAAGACCACGACGACGACGACGACGACGACGGC